CCCGGTTATCCCTGGTGGGACGAGGTTTACCAGGGCTGCTGACAAAGGACTTTGATGTCGGCAGGGGAGCGTCCAGACTAGCGTGCTGAGCGGACAAACAGCTGATCAGCTGTTTGTTGGCTCAGCGCGGCAGCCATGTAAATTTAAATGAAGCCGCAATCATTTAAATCGCGGCTTCATTTGCCTTTGCCAAAAAAACAAATCTACATGGCTCCGTCAATGGAGCCATGTAGTTTAGACATACCCTTAGGTTGGACATTAGGAAAAACTTCCTAACCCTCAGGGTGGTTAAACACTGGAATAAATTGCATAGGGTGGTTGTGGAATCTCCATCTCTGGAGGTATTTATGGGCAGGTTAGACAGACATCTATCAGGGATGATCTAGATGGTGGTTGGTCCTGCTGTGAGTGCTGTGGACTTGATGACCTCTCGAGCTCCCTTCCAGATCTAGTGTTCTATGATTCTGTCTTCAAAAAGGTGATTTTATTAATAAAACAAATAATATACTTGGTAAAACATACTTAGTTTCTAGGTGTTATAGAGCAACTGAGAAAAAAAGATTAAAGCAGAGAGAATTGCTTCTCTGGGATTCAGCTTCAGTTACAGTATATGACGGGTGGAGGGACACGTGATCCAGGCACAGAGGAATTCTAAGCCAGGAAATAAAAGAAATTAACCTGTTCATGACTAACTAAAACATTCCCTGTCTACTTACATTTGTTGCAAGAATATTTTATTCTCCTAGACATGGTTATTGCTGTACATTTAATTTCTGCCTCCCATGTTCATTCCATTTCTTTCACAGCCCCTGTTGCTTCTCACACATGAAGATTGAAACAGGCAAAGCCTGTTTTTCAGTTCAAATCGTAACACTTTCTTCCCATTGGCTCTCCCGGCTACCTGCCATTCCTGGATTTTTCAGGGATTCTCTATGTTTAACCCTTTACAGGCAGTACTCCTCCCATCCATCATGGGGTTTTTAAGAAATTGGATAGGAAAAGGGAAAGGAGGCACAATTAGAAGAAAGAGTACAGTATTTGGAATTATGTGTGTAGAGGATTGAATGAGCCTCTGGTGAATAATGTTTAGAGCTAAATGGTGGGACTTGCACAGAGGAGATGCACATTTGTAACAGAGATATGAGAGATTTCTCTTAGCCATGAAACTTGATTTAATTTTGCGAGGGGCGGGGGCGGTATCTTGCAAGTTTCCTGTTTTCTCTCTATGTAAACAGATTATTAAAGTTAATCCAATTACTGTGTCTTCAAAAATTGCATCACTCAGTCAAACAAAACTAGTCCAAAGTTCCACCTTCTGCAGGTTTGTTGACATTGCTGTTTTTGAGGTGTTCATTTTCTAGGTAGATATGTTAATCAACAGTAATCTGTGTCTATTAGAATAAAAATGAAATGGTAACAAAAGGTTGCTTAATATATAAAATAATTCTGAAAGCATCAGAGCTAAGGGGAATAAAAAGGAAAAGTAGAAGTTAAACAATAGTCCAAGTAGCCCAACAAGAAGAACCTGCTAAAATATGTTCTGTAAATATACAGAATACAGGAAATTGTTATACATATTTAAATTTGTAGGTAGGAAAAAGCCAACTGACTTAGTCCCCTCTGGGTTAATACCTTACCAAGCTGCTTCAAAACAGCTAATAACAGCCCTTGACTAGCCAAACACTGCAGTTTTACAACATGAAATATAGATAATATCTCTGCAGATATTTTTTGTTGCTTCATTGTCACGGTTGCAATCGGTGTTTCTCATTACAACGTAGTTCCAAAGCTTGTAAAGAAAAGTGTGCTTCTGAAAAACTCACTGGCTGTGTCTAGACTGCATCCCTTTTTCGTAAAAGGGATGCAAATTAGACATATCACAATTGCAAATGAAGCGGGGATTTAAATCCACCCCGCTTCATTAGCATAAAAATGTCTGTCGCTTTTTTCCGGCTCGGAGCTTTGCCGGAAAAAAGTGCCAGTCTAGACGCGGATCTTTTGAAAAATTTAAGAGGGATAAGGGATTTAAGAGGGATAAGGGATCTTTCGGAAAAGGCTTTATTTTCCAAAAGATCCGCGGCTAGACTGGCGCTTTTTTCCGGCACAGCTCCGAGCCGGAAAAAAGCGGCAGCCATTTTTATGCTAATGAAGCGGGGTGGATTTAAATCCCCGCTTCATTTGCAATTGCGATATGTCTAATTTGCATCCCTTTTACGGAAAAGGGATGCAGTCTAGACACAGCCACTGTATAAGTTTGGTGAGGTGACCAATGTACATCTTTGCTTTCCTAGCCTAGAAGGGTAGAATAAGTTCAAGTGCATAAAGGATCATTTTTATCTTGGTTCTCTGTACTTTTTCTGTTACTATTTTGTAACTGAAGAAGGAGGTTGTTTACAAACAAAATAAGTGTAACAAATCTTTACCTCCCCACTGCTTATCATCAGACGGGAAATGTTTGTTTCTAGAGTTTAACAATGTGTGTTCTTTTTTTAAAGGTCAAAAAAGTTGGCAGCACTTGCTGAATCTTTACAGAAAGCCAAACTAACTAAGGCCCATTTAGGGTTTGAACTAGAAGAACTGGAATCAGCTGCACTTCTGGTACAAGAGGAAGAAAGTGAGTTAAAAGCTGCCAGCGCAGTTTCTAAGCAACAGCCGCCTTCCTCTGAATTGGAGACGAGTGATTCTGAAGAATCAAGCAGTACTTCATCATCTGAGACAGAAAGCTCTGATTCAGATGAACAAGAGCCCTCCACCAGTGAAGATGGGGAAATAAATTCTCTACAAGACGCACTTCAAGAGCAGAGGAGAGCCCCACTTATTGACTGGAATGGATTAGGGCGAGACACAGACAGTTTGACGTTAGATGTTAGTAATGAAAAATCAAAGGCTTCTTTACGATCTACATCTGTTCCTGGAAAACTGATAGAGGAATTAGGAAAGAAAATGCAGACTGCAATTAGGCTTTCAGAGCAGCCTGAAGAGTTGGCTACTGCAAGCTACACAGCTTTGCAAGAAAAAGGAGCAAATTATGCAGTTGAACCCCAAAGACTTTCAGAGGATCCAAATGAAAAAGAAAATTTCTTGGAGGTTTCCCCAACGAAAAGCCTACTGCTGTTTGTTGGCAGCACAGATGAAGACTGAACAAGCGTATTGGGAAAAACTCTGACCCGTTAGCTAATACAGCTCATTGCTATAATGAGATACTATTCCTACATCAAGTGTGGAAAAAGGAGGTGACAGAATTCCTGGGTTTTTTTTCACCCTGTTGATAATTTTTAAACAAGGCTGATTTGAAGGGAATCAAGACTTTCTCAAACCCTAATAATTAGATATATTTTGTGCATCAGTGATTCGTCAGAAAATAAATTTTTGATCTCCAAATGCAGGAATCTGTAACTTCAGTAAATACTTTCAGGAACAGTTTTCATTAAGGTTAGTAGAGGAATGAAGAGAAATAATGAAATATAACTGAAAATAGTTGTATCATCAGTTAAAAATCTTAACTATTTGATAAATAAATATGTTCATGACTTTTTTTAATTACCTTTTACTACATTCTTGGATTTCAAATATTTTATTACCAATTTCTCTACTTTAAGAAGAATAACAAATGTCATTATAAAAATCGAAGCAGCACTGGCAGTTCTTGTTTGGACATCCAAAAAAATGTTCCCCCTTTTTTTCTTAGTACAGATTAAAGGGAGTTTCTTCATAATGAGCTCCAATCAGTGCTATGTATGAGCTTCTGTTTCTACAGTCCCATTATAAATTATGTTCTTTACCACTTTCAGCATTTCTTTTTAACTGTGTTGTCTATCCATTTTTTGAAATGTATCTAAGTGTAGATATTGTTTCCCTTTCAAAAATGAAAAATCTTGTTTCTTATTACTATTCAAGGGATGTTGTGCTGGCCCCACTGAGGTGGAAACACAGTGTAGTCTAGTGCTCTGAGCACAGGAATGAAAGGCAGGAACTCATAATTTCTTGTCCCAGCTCTGTGACTGATTTTGTGTGTGTCTGAAAAAGTTACTTAACCTCCCTATACCTCATTTTTTCCATCAGTAAAATATGAAGAATACTTGCCTGCCTCTCAGAGGTGTTGTGAGAATATTAATGAGGGAACTTATTATAATAGTGAGAAGTCCAATGTTTTACAAATGAAATGCTGTACTTCCAGGCAGGTATGACTTACCCATAAAAGGTTGCTTCAGGATGAAAGGTAGATTGAATGGCCATTTGCTTTCATGTGTGTAATATTGAAATCCAATTTTGGGGGAAATGAAAAAAAACAAATTTGAATTCGGCAGAGTTTCTGGTAGTTCATCATTGGTAAGTGACAGTGCTTGAAAAGGAATGATTAGCGGATGCTGATGTGCTGTCATTGGAACAAGATAACAGATTGGCGATGAGGAACACAAGGATTTTCGTGCTCTCCTGGGAATTGTGAAACTCCAGCACATCTCAGTCTTATTCTTCCCACGCTTTCTTTTCAGCCTTCACTTACAACTACAAAAGCACATAGAAAGTCACAATTGAAAAACTTTAAATTCTTCATTTACAATTAAGTGAGCATTTCTTTCTCTCCCTCCTCACAATCAAATTCAAACTATAGCTGCATACAAGCAAGATGCATTCAAGAATGACAGAAAACAAGTACAGGCAGTCCCCGGGTTACGTACAAGATAGGGACTGTAGGTTTGTTCTTAAGTTGAATCTGTATGTAAGTCGGAACTGGTGTCAGCCGCTGCTGAAACTGATCAGTTTCAACCGCGGCTGAATCTGAACGCCAGTTCTGACTTACATACAGATTCAACTTAAGAAACCCAGGCGTCCCCAAGTCAGCTGCTGCTGAAACTGAT